TTTTTTTTTTTTTTTTCAGTATTGTAATCTTCCTCTTTGCCATTTACAGAAATTACGTGATGGTTATAAAATGGGGTCTGGAATACTTTGTCGTTGCTGCAATATTCTGGTAATATTACTTACTGGTTCAGTTTGGCTGGAAGCTTTTAGTTGATGTGCTGATACTATTTACCTATTATGCAGATGAGTCCATCTCAGTTTGAAGCTCATGCTGGTTGGGCATCACGTAAAAAGCCGTTAGTCTTCTTTCTCCACTCCCCTTCTGGTTGAAGGTTTGGCAATATGGGACTTTTTTTTTATCTGATGTCATGTTTCCTTTTTATTTTCTGCAGCTATATGTACATCTACACATCTAATGGGGTGTCTCTCCATGAATTTGCCATATCTCTATTGAAAGGTCGCGAGTGTTCTGCTAAAGATAGTGATGACTTGTGCATCATTTGTGCAGATGGTGGGAAACTTGTGCTTTGTGATGGATGTCCAAGGGCTTTTCACAAAGGTGAACAATTGATTTCTCCATTGATTGATGCAGATATTTTTTTTTTGTTCTTCCTCTATCAAATACCTTCTGTGCTATCTTAAGGGTGAAAACTCATTCCAGAGTAGTTTTGAATGCCAAGAAGGGCATCTGAGAGAATATCCAAAAAAAGGAGAGAATCCACTTCAGTTGGATCCATCTTGTCTTGATCACATGCCCAACCGTTTCAACTCTTAGTTGCTTTGAACCCCTTTTTTTTAATGTTTAGGAGATTCCTTCAGATTCTTCATTACCTTATTTTCTTCTCCTATTCTTCTTTTTATTTTGGGGTGGGAGGGATTATATACATACCAACGTACATCTTAGGGGATGAGGGGAGCTGTAGTATTTGAAAGAAGAATCTAAACCACTGTTAGAAGGAAATCTGCATCCTGCTTTCATCTGTTAGATGAAGACACTGAATTGAGAAGTTGAAGTAAGCCTTCTCCCTTTTGGCGCATGAGAGAGGTGGGTTTGGATGCCTGTTTAGATGAAACAATATGAGCTACATTGGATCTATGCACGTTTATATATACGTAAAGAAATATGTATTTTTATGTTTATACGTTGATACCGTGCCTATGTATGTGTATATATATTTGGGGACCTTTCCACCTACCTATGCATTTAACAAATCCTTAATTTTAAAATGATCTAATGGTATAGATTAATGCTACTAAATTTTTTGGAAAGAAAAAAAAGAAATGAAAAAATTAATCATATTCTCCACCCCCACCCCCACCACACACCACAGTCGCCACCACATCGCTGCAACCTCCGCACTGACACTACTGCCCGTCACTTGCGAAACAAAGGGGGATCTCCCCCCACCCCCCCGAATTTGCAGATTCTGGGGAGATTTCCTGCAAACAGGGGAGAAATCTCCCCTGATTAAGGCAGCGGTGGTAGGGGGTGGGGTGGGGTGGATAATTAGTTTTTTATTTTTATATTTTTGTTTTGATAAAATTACGTCTACAATGTTAGATTAATTGAATTTAAAGGCTGTGATGCTTTGTCAAATACATTTGTCTGTCTATTGGTAGGTTGAATGTCCCCTTTTATATTTAACAGAGACTTTTTTGTATTATGTTATGTTTGTATGATTAGTGAGGTCATGATGTGGGAGGGCATCTTATTCCTCCACTTTAGGTATAATTTGGAAGTTTTACCCTCATTCTTCTAAACTGCCACTGTTACCGATATATGTCAATGATAGGTTAACTTAATGAATTGTTTTAACTGGAGTTCTCTTCTATAAAATTCTGACTTAAAAAGATAATTTTATATTCCTCGTCCTTCTTAATTGCCATTGTTACCAATATATGTTATTGATAGGTTAACTTAATGAATTGTTTAAACTGGTGAGTTCTCATCTATAAAATTTTGATTTAAAATCATGAGCCTGTTTTTTTCATCTCATTTACCCTCGAGGAGTCTTGAAATGGCCTTCAATTGCTAACTTTTGTTTCTGTCATATTTCTAACTTGATTGCTTGTTGAGCTCATTTTAGAGCTATGTACAAGAATATAACGAGCCTGAAAAGATCAAACTTGGCCATTTTTATATGAGCGAGTTTAAAAAGAATGTCTGCGGCTCAAACTTGAATGATTGTAGCCGTAACTTTATCTGTAGCATGTATATTTGCATCTGGAAATTTCTCCCAATTGTGAATCTTGCCTGTTAGGGATTCAAAAAGTTATAATCTGAGCGAGCTGCTTTGTTTAACATCATTCTCATCTTGCCATGCAGAATGTGCATCCTTGTCAAGTATACCCCCAGGAAAATGGTACTGCACATATTGCCAAAACATGTTTCAGAGGGAGAGATTTGTAGAGCATAATGCTAATGCAGTTGCAGCCGGTAGGGTGTCGGGTGTAGATCCAATCAAGCAGATAACAAATCGTTGCATTCGTATTGTCAGGAACCCTGGAAAATTGGAAGTTATTACATGCGTTATCTGCCGGTAATGCACATATACAAAAAAACATCTTTGACATCAGATCCTCACCTTTATATTAGTTTCCAAGTCATTTTGAAATAACTACCTTCCCCGATTATTATAGTCATTCTGAATATCCAAGCTTATTTTGTTTGCAGAGGCTATGACTATAGCAAATCTGGTTTTGGTCCGCACACGGTTATATTGTGCGATCAGGTATTCTTCCAGGTTTTATCTTAAGGTTTTCCTCATTTATTTAGTGATGTAAACAGATGACCATACTCCAATTATCTCTTCATTCCTTCCCAGTGTGAGAAAGAATATCATGTGGGCTGTCTGAAAAAATGCAAGATAGCAGATCTAAAGGTGTGTATATATGATTTAATAGGACTAGATAGTCCCTAATCTTTGTATAGTTGATCTATTATCTGTGTTAATAATTCTTACATCAATCTCTGAAATTAAATTTGATGCACTTGTAAAAAATAGGAACTTCCCAAAGGAAAATGGTTCTGTTCTGTGGATTGCAAGAGAATATATGCTGCATTGCAAAATTTGGTAAGTTCTGGGGCAGAAAAGCTCTCAGACTCTTCTTTGGGTGATGCAAGGAAGAAGCACAAGGAAAATGGTTTGGATTCTGATACCGATCTTGATGTGAGTTGGAGACTTTTGAATGCGAAAGTTTCTTCTCGTGAAACCAGAGTTTTACTCTCACAGGCTGTTGCTATATTTCACGTAAGCATTTTTGGATCATGTTTTGATGTTCATAGTCCAAGTCAGTTCCCTCCAGTTATAATAAATATGATGTGCCTGTGGGTCACTTGTTGCACCAATTAGAATTAGTGTGCAAGGGTTTGATGTTTCTTTTAGCTTTTAACTAGATGGTAGCTTAAAGCTCGACTTTAGCACAAGCACTTTTTTTGTAGTTTCAATCTATTTGTGTTATGTGTAGGTTTTGACACAAATTCAGTTCTATTCTGTTTTATTCTCAAGTGATTTTTCTGTTAAAACAATGAATGAAATTTAGATGCCTGAAAACAAATGGGTGAATTTTTGGTGTAGACATTAGTTGGCCTTTAAGTTATCATATTCAGTCAATTGATGTTTCAGGGTGGAGAACAGGCAGAAAAAAAATTGAAAAAGGAAAATGGTATGGAAATGGGTCTAATTGAAAACTTTATGGTTTTCTCCAATTGGAAATTTGATGCTGCTGCTATCCCTTGATGAAGTCTTATCATATTTTTCACATGCCATGATATTATTTGCCTTATTTGCAGTTGCATAATGTGATTTTATGGTCTTGTCTTATGGAACTTCCTTTATTTGGCTTTCAAACAGTCTAAGAGAAGCTGGCAATACCTAAATTTTTTATTTACTTTCAGGAATGTTTTGATCCTATTGTCGATACAGAAACTGGACGAGACTTCATTCCATCTATGGTTTATGATGAAGATGGAATAGAGTAGCAACATCAACTAGAAAATTTAAGTGTGGCGATATGTTAGCAACAGTATAAAGTTTATTTCATTCATGGAATAAACCATATGTACAAAAAAATTTCACAAATGTTTTACACCCACTCACGTGTGGGGCCCACTGGAAATAAAAAATGACAAAAAAAAACCACCCAGTATCTGTGAAACCAACCCCACACCCCCCCCCCCCCCCCCACCCAACCACACACACACACACACGTGCAGAAGGAATGTTAGGGGCCAAGATTTTGGTGGAATGTACTGTGCTATATTGACGGTAAAGTAAGAACCAGGTTTCCCAATTGTGGTAGCTGTCAATTCTTCGTTGTATTATTATTTTCAGTTAACAATTCCTTTATTATTCTTGCAGCTCATTAGTTGTATCAGCAGGGATCATTCGGATTTTCGGACAAGACATAGCAGAACTCCCTTTAGCTGCTACTCGTATGGGTAATCAACGGAAGGTTGGTTAAATATGCTGTGCAGAATACAGAATTTCGTTGACCCTAGTTAATTTTACCTTAATCCCAGCCTCCTCTTTTTCAAATGTGTATTTTTCTTGACACTTGTATATTTTCGTGCTCTGAACGAATATAATTGTATACCATTACTGAATTTCATTTCTTGCTTGCCGATGGAATATATTATTGTATTAGCTCTTAGAGTGAGTATTAGATATTTAAATTTGATTATTGACAAGGACTTGAAGACGATGCGATGCATAAAATTAAAGCATACAGGGAGATCCCTATAAGGTCAAACTTCAGTTTTTTGGGATTTAATAAAAGACCTGGTTTGTCACAATACGAAACAAAAGGATCTTATGCAAATCTTTTTCTGATATGTGGTCTTTTCTACACCATAAATCACTTTGTTTCAATAATATGTGTACATGTTTAAGTGTTTGTCTTGTAAGAAGTGGATTATTGGGCTGGTTGATGATGAATGTAATTTGTTGGAAAAATTTAATGAAAATATGGGTTGAGTTTCCGTAGTATCAATCTCTCTGGTGCCAGTGATTAGGCAAAGCCTGTTGTGATAGTATGCATTGGATTTCTTAATTTTGATTGTTGCACCACTGTTATACTTCTCAGTCACCTAATATATAATGAATTTTCTTCAACATGTTGGTGACTAATAATTTACTGCTAATCTTTTAAGGTGCGGCGGACTCAGTCCATCTATTTTTATCTGCGGCGGCTTTTCTTAGTCTGATTTAATTGAAATATCTGTGCAGGGATATTTCCAGATCCTGTATTCTTGCATCGAGAAATTGCTTGCATTTTTAAATGTGAAGACCTTTGTTCTACCAGCTGCTGATGAGGCAAAGTCGATATGGACAGATAAGTTTGGATTTCAGATAATATCACAAGAGCAGGTAAGTTAATTTGGATTGGTAATCAGCAAACTGCCTGACCCAGTTCCCTAAGAAAGGGAAAATTGAGAACCTTTTAAGTGCTGTTGCATATTCTGACCTTCCCTCCATTTTCTGTCTTCCCCATATGGCAGCTTGACAATTACAGACAGACCTGTTCGCAAATGATATCCTTCAAAGGGACATCTATGTTAGGTAAAGCAGTTCCAAAATGTAGGATTATTTCTCAAGAGGAAACAGAACCTGATGTCCCGTTGCAGTGATTGGCAAAATGAAGCCTTTCAAGCCATTTCGAATTCAAGGCTTCATGGGAGGATGGAAATTTCTTATTTATTTAAATCTTTAACTGATTTTGAAAGCTGGTTTGTAAGTTGCAAACTAGATATAGGTAACAGCTGAAAGGAATAGGAAATACCTTGAGACTTTTGACAAGACAAGACGAAATGATTGAACTGTTAAAAAGTTGTTGGCAGATGTTTTTGGATTAATTTCTGCTTAGGTTTTCAGTCTCCTTCCCCCTCCCCCTTGGTTGCATGTAAATAATTCTTTCTGCTAGATACCTTCTTATATTTCAGTTGGTCGGCTCATTTCGCATTTAGTCCTGATGAATGTATGTCCATATGCTGTATAAGATATATAGATCTTTTCCCTATTTATTAAATAGGAGTGACCCCTTTGCTTTCTTCCGAAATGAAGGGGACTAAACAAGAACAAGAGAGATCCGTCGAAGAAAATCCTTCTCCTTCCTTTTTTTCAGAAGAAAAGGAGGATCCGAACAAAATTGATGAAACGGAAGAAATCCGAGTGAATGGAAAGGAAAAAACACAGGATGAATTCCACTTTCGATTTACAGAGACATGCTCTAAAAATAGGCCAGTTATGAAGATTCTTATCTGATGAATATCAATGAAAATAACGAAAAATTATTAATTTCCTTTTCTATNACTGGTGTTTAACATCAGTTTAGGTGGCAGCATTAGTGACATTAAATTACCGATTCAATTAAATATAAAGAATTTCTAACCCATGTAGTAGGATTTATGATACGTTAACACCTATATTGGTGTTCAACACTATTGGTCTCAGCTAGCATTATTCTTGTATGTACATGTATGCTACACTCTGTTGAAACTTCTTTAGCATACTGCGCGAACGGAAAAGGACTCTCGGACTTCTAATGAAGCTTGACGACACTAGTAAGCCTTGACCTATCAAACATGTTTTCAGTGTTAGCCTCTTTCTCTACTAGGCTTCACGACGTGCCTAAACGGTTAGCCTGGTTATCAAAACCGGGCTCAAGTAGGCCTTAAATGAGAAATGAGTTAAACTCGTAGATCCCCACTAGAATTATGATGCAGGCTCGACTGTTTGAATGTTGCCAATCCAAGTCTTAAGCCTTCTTGATCATCCATTGATCGCGTCTGGTTTAAATATCGAGTGGATTTCTTAATAGTATTTCCCGAGCTGCTGTCATTATTATTATTTTTTAATGATGAATTGTTTTTCAAATGTTGGAAAGTATTTTTAATATAATATATTTGTTTGAACTAGTACTCAATTAGTTGTAAAGAAATATCATATATGGATTCACATATTTTTATCAAATACAATACTTTAGCTTAAAGAAAGTTGATTTCTTATTTATTCTTGCTATGATTGATTGCATTTTCAGTCAAATTTCATTATTATGTCTATCTAAATAAAAATGCCATTTTTTTAATTACAATATAGAATTATAAAGCAAGAAGGTCTAGTTTCCAGTAAAAATGGGCTACGTAAATCCTTTTTCTTCACCCCTCAATGTTACGGGAGATCCAAGAAACTGTCACACATCAAGTAAATTTTCATCAATCATTCCATTTTTTGACTTGTACTGATGTAACTCTCTTAGCTTGTTTCATTGGGCTGATCCGGTAGTTCCTACCGGGTGGAAATGATGGGGTGGATTCATGATTTTTCTTTTCTTTCTTCTCAAAGAATTGAAGGTAGATAGAGCATCAAGCTGCTCACGGGATCTTAGATGAGGGATCCTTCGGAGAGTTGTCAACATCAACTACCGTCCATGTATGATCCATACTAGATTTGACTAACTGTTTATCCTACCTCCTTTGCGTTCTTGACAACAATTTGATTGTATAGTTCTCTATTAGATATGACACTCGTGGAGAATGACAGTTATTTTTTACATGCGAGATATGACTTCCCATTCACATGCTGAATAAGGCATGCTACGTTCTCTTTTGACTCCACGCTCCATTAACACACCACCCCATATTCTGAGAATTAAACAAATGTTTCGAAATCACAAAAATCTCTTTTTGAAGGTGTCTTAGCGTGCAATCTCCATTTCTTCCCAAATCCTCTTTTATTTCATCACAAAATCTAATCATCCATCTCCACTCGAACCACAGACCAAATTGCCATACTTTTCTTACCTCCTAAGTCAATCCTCACCGTCCCCACTCCACAATAAAACAATCTATCCCATCACTTCTTTCTCCATAACTAATGTCAACACAACAATGAGAACAAAAACTGCCTTCATTTTTTGGCTAACTACATTTGCTTCTCTTCTTATTTCCATCATATTTGCTCCGTATTGTACTCATTCCCACAGTGCAATTTGTAAGTTCAAATGACTCTTTTTGTTGTAGTGTTCAGAACTGATTATAATATCTCAGAACTTACATTTCTCGAAAGGGTTTTTCCGAAAATTAGTGGGTTAGAAGAACTCCTTTCGATTCTTGAAAGAATTAGATTTACTCGTAGACATCATCCTCATCCTCATCATCACCATCACCATCATCATCACAAGACGGAACCTCAAACTTCTTGTAACGATGACATATGGAAATCCAGGCTCATATCAGATTACAGTGTTTCGTGTGTGTTGACAGTGGATTTAAAGGGCTGTGCGAATTTCAGCAGTGTGCAAAAGGCAGTAGATGCTGTTCCTGATTTTAGTCCAAGTAAAACACTGATCGTTGTCGATTCTGGCACTTACAGGTGAATGACTCCTCTATATTAACACAGATTCACTTTTGTGTTCAGAAGAGGTGGTTTGACATGGAATTAGTGTATTATAATGGCAGGGAGAAAATTGTTGTGAGCTCCAACAAGACAAACTTAATAATACAAGGTCAAGGTTACCTCAACACGACCATTGCTTGGAATGACACTGCTAATTCTACTGGAGGAACAGCTTACAGTTCCACGATCGCCATTTCCTCAGCCGGTTTCGTAGCTTATAATATTAGTTTTCAGGTACTTAATTTACTGTCCATCCGTTTAACAAAAGACTCGAGTTCATGTCTTGCATTATAGAACATGATTCAATAATACTAAATGTAAATTCTTTGGTTGACATTGTTTCTCACATTACCTTTGTTTTTCGAAAATTGTGGGCTGAAAAACTGTTTGTTTTTAAACTGTCGAACGGTGTTTTGTCACGTGACACAATATAAAGGAAGATTTAAATGATGATGTACATGTAGTGAACATTCTTCAAATGATGTCATCAAGAAGTAATAATGTCTTATTTAATTTCTTTAAAGAACACAGCTCCTCCACCAGACCCTGGAGAAGTTGGCGGACAGGCGGTGGCACTCAGAATTTCCGGCGATCAAGCTGCATTCTACGGCTGCGGATTTTATGGCGCACAAGATACCCTTAACGATGATCAAGGGAGGCATTATTTCAAAGAGTGTTTCATCCAGGGATCCATTGATTTCATTTTCGGAAATGGCCGATCACTCTATGAGGTAGGAATCATGATCAACGATTCATCCATCAATCTTTACATACAATATATAAAAGATTAAACATGTAAAATTTATAAAAAAAAAAACTGGGTGCAGGATTGCATGATCAATTCAATAGCAAAAGAATCTGTCACCGGCGGAGTCACTGGAGCTGTGACTGCCCAGGCAAGAAACTCAGGCACTGAAAAAACAGGCTTCTCCTTTATGAATTGCGAAATTGGAGGCAGTGGAAAAGTGTGGCTTGGACGAGCTTGGGGGGCATATGCCACCGTAGTTTTCTCCAAAACACACATGTCCGACGTGGTTTCTTCTGATGGCTGGAATGACTGGAGAGATTCCTCCAGAGACCAGTATGTTGATTGTTGACCTAAATTATCTTTAAAAAGGTCCATTAATTAATTTTTTTCATTAATTAAAAGTTACTTATTTCAGAACAGTGTTTTTTGGAGAGTGCGAGTGCTCTGGGCCGGGAGCAAATTATACGTATAGAGTGGCATATGGGAAGCAATTGAAGCAAACTGAAGCTGCTCCTTACATGGATATTTCATTTGTGGATGGACAACAATGGCTTCTTTCTCGCGGAAAAAATTTATCATCAGACAGTCACAGACTCGAAGAAAGTGATTTAGTTCAAAAATATTGAGATTTATCTCACACTTAATATTCGAGAAATGTTAAATGTGCTCGTGATAGTAGCTAGTGCATAACATTTTTTCGCGACATTTTACTATTATTTATTTATAATTAATTACATGGGTTGATTAATAGTAGATCACTATTGTATCACATTGATTATTCGAATTCACTATAGTACTTTGGGGTGTTTGATGGATATTATAAATGAAAAAATGTATTTTAAATAGTGACATGATAAAAAATATGTGGTTAACAAATAAGAAAAAGTTATTGATATGATAGAAAATATTATTTTATTGAAGAATATATAGTTGAAAATGAGTTTTGAAAGAATATAATTTGAAATAGGGAAATGCCAAATGTACAGTCAAATTGTACATTAATTTACACAATTCTCACACATGGGATGTGCCTACAAAAATGTACAGAAAATATTATTTTATTAAAGAATATGTGGTTGAAAATGAGTTTTCAAAGAATGTATTTTGAAATAGGAAAATGCCAAATGTACAGTCAAATTGTACAGTCATTTACACAGTCTACACACATGGGATGAGGCCCACAAAAATGTGGGCCCCACCCTCATGTGTGTAGATTGTGTAAATGACTGTACAATTTGACTGTAAATGGAGCAGGGTCCTTTGAAATAATGTGTGTCAAACATGGGTAATCATTCTTTCAAAACATTTTTTTTCAAATTCATTTTCAATCGCACATTCTCACCATAAAATACTTTTCACGTAAATTAAAATTTTTCCCTATTTTTTAATTACACATTTTTCAAAAAATTACTATTCAAAAACTCATTCTTTACAATATAAAAAAAAAATGCTGTAAAATAGGGGCTAAATTTTTTACTTCTCAACTTTATTTTATTCTAGAGAGATTAATCATAGTATTTAGCCCTTATTTGACAATCATTATTCAAAAATTCTTTTTCCTATATACTTATTTTTAATTACACATCCACATAATAAAATATTTTATACGTGAACTCAAAACTTTTTCCTACTTTATAATAACACATTTTCCTAAAAATTAATATTCAAAATATTATTTTTCTCAAATAATGATAGTCAAATGGAGCTTAATCAATCATATCTATTGGCAAATGCCAATAATTACCATTTAAAAATAAATTGAAACATGGTAAATAAAAAATTTGAAAAGCTGGCTCCAAGAATTATTAGTTTGGAGGTGTGTGTTGGTTGTTTAGTTTTGTTGTTGTTGTTGTTTCGGTTTGTGATTAGTTTATGTTGTTTGGTTTGTGTGGTTGTTTGGTCGAGGTGAAGTCTAGACAATGCCCGCTACTTCGTGTGCAGGGGTGCTCAAGTGCAGATTGCGTAGTTGGCTTTATGTAGGGTTGTTCCTGCATTGTTAAAGTCACAGATGTTTTTTGACTTCTATTGGCTTTGTTTGTCTCGGGTCGTGTATTGGTTATTCGGCTTTGGGTCTTGTTTTGGTTTGGTTGCCTTTGTGGCCGTGGTGAAGTCTAGACAATGTCCGCTACTTCGTGTGCGGGGGTGTTCAAGTGCTGATTGCGTAGTTGGCTTTATGTAGGGTTGTTCCTGCATTGTTAAAGTCACAGATGTTCTTCGACTTCTTTTGGCTTTGTTTTAGTTCGGGTCGTGTATAGATTGTTAGGCTTTGTGGCTTGTTTGGTTGGTTTGCCTTTGTGGCTGTCGCTTTGGCTGTGGAAGCACTTAATCTCTCTTTGTAGAGCATGTGTTGGAGGTTTTCCTCATTGTATCCACTTTTTGCGCCTTCTATGGAATGATTAGAGATTCAAAAAAAAAAAAAAAAAGAATTATTCTTCCCTTCTGAGAGAGAGAGAGAGAGAGAGAGAGAGATTTGCCAATAATTACCATTTAGAAATAAATTGAAACGTGGTAAAAAAAAAAAAAAAATTGAAAAGCTGGCTCAAAGAATTGCTCTGTCCTTTTGAGAGAGAGAGAGAGTGAGTGTGTGTGTGTGTGTGTGTGTGTGTGAGTGGATATGTGAAATGTGACATCAACGTTTATTAGTAGGGACAAAAGTATATTCTTATAGAAGCGTGCATTGAATGTTATCCAATTGTTGTTCGGTTAGACACATTAGAAGAGTACTTTTTAAATATAAAATACATTCTATTTTAAAGGGTTAAACTTCAAAATTATATTTTAAAAGACTTTTTAAATTAATATTTTTAAAGAGTCAAATTCACTCTTTGTAATTAAATGAATTCAAAGTATTTCAATTTTCAATTAAAAATATAATAATTTGAAAGGAAGCCAGTGAAAATAAAATATAAGAAAAAGTAATATATATATATATATATATATTTTTTTTTTTTTGGGAGTAGTAATATTAAGCCTCCGTTTGGTATTGATTAAAATCTTGATTTTAATCTAAATCAATGTTAACAATTAATTTTAACTACACGTTTTATGGGAAATACCATTTTTCAATCACATATTTCATCAACTTCTATTTAAATTTAATAAAAAATTGATTTTAATTCCCAAACAAGGGCTAAGTGATAAATATAAAGAGCATGTTAGAGTACTAATCGTTTGAAAACCCGCAAGTGCACAAGATCGAAGTCAAATAATAAATTGATGAATAAAATGTCGAACTCACGAGGATTATGTATTTGATCGAGTTACAATTAATTGCAATTTTAATCAAATAGTAAACAAATTTTGTGATTTTTCTATACTAATACCTAAATTATCAATTAAATTAAAGAAAGTAAATAAATGTGTTTTTCAAATACGTGAGAAACGCATTGCTAAGCTATCGAATCCCGCTTACTATTTCATTTTTAGTGTAACAATTAAAGTGACAATTTGAAATCATTTAGTTGGTTAATGCTCCTAATTTAATTGAATAACAATCAAATATATTCCCCTTTTGTGACTCTTCTATTTCTCGATGAAAGATGCAAACATGATAAATGCATTAACAAGTACTAGAACACCTATTAAAACCATATAAACCATATATGTATATCTCTATCCTCTATCGAATCTTATAATATTTATTATAATCTGCTTAAACCCAAAAATATAGAGGTATATCTCTATCCTCTATCGAACCTTACAATATTTATTATAATGTGTTTAAACCCTATTATCTCTCTTGATAACAATAAAATCTACTTACAATTCAATTGGTGATCAATCAATTGAAAAGAACGATAAAAACAATAATAAACATCAACAGATTAAATCAAACTAAAGTCAAAATAATTAATTAAAAACTAAAAATATTATAACAAGGGTTTATCTCATCCTAGCAATGAATCGAATTAGTCTAACATATCAAAATTACAAGAAATCATATTTAAGTGAAGATATATAACTCGGATTTTTAATAAATTAAAAAGATGAAGATGAATCTTGAAATCTTGAATCTCTTCAATGGTTTTTTTGATGAATATCCACTTGCGTCTTCTCTTTTGTACCCAAAAATTAGGTTTGAATTTTCACTTCATTGAATTCTTGCAAATCCACTTTAATCCTCCCACAAAAATTATGAATTTTCCCCTTTAATGATAATAATTGATGAGTATTGGAGTATGCGATGTATATGAGATATCCCCAGTATGTATTCTTCTGTTATGTATTTGTAGCGGTCGATCACTAGTTGAAAATCACATCCAAATTGATTTTCAAAAGAGTTTCAATCGAATAAGAAAAGTTGTCTTTGCGCGCAGATTTTTTTGTCTCCGCATAGTTTTCAGTTTTTTGATCATAACTCTCTCATGATATAGGTAATTCAAAATACATTGGAAATCTAACTCAAGAGACTGCAACTTTTCTAGAAATACAATTTTCCCAATTTCGGACGTTTACTATACTAAAAATGAGTCTCAATGTTCGACTAAAAATTTGAAATATAACTTGTGCGATTGTAAATTGATTTTGATAATATTTCATTCCTTTCTGTGTTCTAATTCCATCCAAATGTCTCCTAAAAATCTTCAAAGTATCAACTTGTGGTCTGAATGAACTATTGAATTTTCAATTTGGTTCTCAAACTTTAAATTTTGCAATTTTCACAATTTTTCGTTTTTTCTTTCGATTCTTTGTTCAACCATTGAGTTTTACCTATATAATATAAAATATAACAATTTATGATATATTTTGTTAGAATATCCTCAAATTTAAGCATTTGTTTGTTCACAAACAAAATTGTAACCTAAATAACAACAAACATGCAAAAATTTGACCGTTTGAAAACCCACAAGTAAAAGAGATCGTGATCAAGTAATATAGTAGTGTGTAAAGTGTTGAACCCACGAGAACTACGTGTTTTATCTAGTTAAAGTTAATAATACCATTAAACAAATAACAAAAATAATTTGTAATAAATATAAGTCTAATTTATCACTATAAATTAAAGTAAAAGTTTTTCAAAATTTTGAAATGCATTGCTAAGATGTAGAATCCCCCTTATTAATCCATTTTTAGTACAACAATTAAAATGACTATTTGTTATCATGCGAGCTAGTCGAAGTTCCAAATTTAATTAAAAGCTTGTCTCGATAGCAATTAAATCTAATCCTATATGTGTCATTTCTATATCTCTATAAAAGATACCAACATATAATAAAGCATTAAATGAGTTAGAACATTTAAAATAAAAAAAAAAAAATCATGCGAAGTATATATGTATATCTCTATTATCTATCGAATCTCACAATACTTATTACTACATGCTAACGATCCTATTATCTCTTTCGTCCACAAATAATTCAACTAATGGCCAATTAATTGAAAATCAATCTAAATCATAATAAATATCTACGCATTCAAAGAAATTAATGTCAAAATAATTAGTTAATACTAAAAATTTCAAAACAAGAGTTCGTCTATATCTTAACAATGAAAAAATCTAGCATAACATAATATTGAAATTAAACATGTAAAAATGGAACGAAATAAACGAAAAGTGACGAAACGTGAACAAATTTGGAATTAGTTGAAGTTGCCTTTATTTTTCTAGCCCCTGAATGCGTGGTTT